TTACTGTGGACACCCACATTTACCAGAGAAACCATGCCATGTTAGGGAGATTTGATTTGTAGCCAAATCCCCTTATAACCATTTGAAAAAATCTGGCAGAAATCCAACTGCTCAAGTTAAATAGACATTTAGCCACACTGTGCATTAGATATGCATGGTAACCTCAGAAAAATACACTTGAATAGAAATGCTGGCTTAAGGTACTATGATTGTTACACAGAACAAAAACTTACTTGAGAGCAGCAGTAATCATTGTACTTTTGTCTAATGTGTGTTTGAAAATGAATTTGATTTTAAGACTATAAAAATTCCAAAAGTTTTGCTATACTCTTTACTAGGACATAAGTATTCTTTTAAAACATATTAAAAACAAATTGAAGGCACACTTTTTTCTACCTTCTCTCTCTCTCTCCCTCCTTTTTTTTTTTTCATTTAAAATCAGTGGCCATTTTGACATTACATCAAAATGAATTTTATCACAAAATTCTGAAGGTAGGACCTGTGGCTTTCAGAACATTCTAAGCTAGGGTACACAGTAATACTTTATTGAATGAGGATGTCCTCTTCATTCAGAAAAATGAATAAGAAACTCATTATCCTAGGTCAAAGACAAAAAAAAGTTTTTCATTGTAATTTTGAATTCCAATTTCTCCTCTTCCCCAACCCCAGCTTCTACAAGCACAGTTTCTTTTTAGATTGGAAGTGAGTATGTGAAGGACTGGTGGAGTTTCATCAGTAATCTGCAATTCCAAGTCCCCACCCAACCAAACAATAGCCACTTCCCTTTTTAGCATAATTTTGGTGGGAATATCCTCTACTACTATAGCAAGCACTGTGTAGGGGAACCAAGCCTTCCAAATCCTAAGGTCTCAGATATTGTCCAAACTGAGTTTTACAACCGTTTCTAAAGCACAACATTACTCCAATGTATATAATTCACACACTCAGGTGGTCAAGAGAACACAATTAATTCTCCTGAACATTACTTTATTTAAGCTTAATTGCCAGTTTTATAATCTTCATATTCTTTTAATTTCTAAATAATTCCATGGTCTAAATCCTTATTTTCAAGGCAAGTACTGTTTTAGCTATTTGTATGTATCTGGTTTTGTCCTTTGAAAGTGCTAATTATAACTCATGGAAACACAAATACTATGTGAGGTGTCAGTTCAGAAAGTCCCAGATACAAGAAAAGAAATGTCATTCAGATTAAGTGTTTAAGGAAAATATTATTGAAACCAGACCACATTCACTTTAAACAAATTCACACAACGGAAATAAATACTTCAACTGATAATACAAACATAGGATAGGGAGAATGTCACATGTTGTTAATATTTAAACAAATATTTTTTAACCTTCTTAATTGGTGTAATTAAGGAATAGAAAATGTTTCTATCACATTAGCAGAAATGCACTGTAAAATTTTTTCGTCAACAGCAAACTTGTGCACTATTTTGGGAACTGTGCTAATACCACTGGTATTCCTAGTGTTTAAAGCTGTGTTGACATGATAAAGTGCTATAATTTTAACTTGTTATTGTGAGGCAGAAACTGCCTCATTAATTTCTGCTTCATTCAAAACTGAGGAACAAATCAATGTTTACCAATGGGACTGGAGCTAAGTGAGTAACAAAAAGAAAATCTAAAACACTTGTGATAAGTCATTAGTTTAAGATGTAGGAAAACAATCTTAAAGGATTGTCTAAGTTTGTTTAGTCAACAAAATTTAAATGAGAAACTGAATAAATTTAAAATGGATTGTTCACTGCATACATTTAATTTTAATGTTGTTAAACCTGAAAAAGGTTGTTCTTTCTACAATAAAGTTAACATTATTAGCATAATACATTGCAAGTGGAATAGCAGTATCGATGACTTTTAATAAAATATGACTTCTTTATTACATCGGGTTTTTATGACTTTAGATATACCAGCACTTTAAATATATTGAAGATTCAAATAAAAATATCCTTTTTATCCATAATCCAGTTAAAGATTTTAAAATATCACAATGGTAGATACACCTAAAAGGGGTATCAGAGATATTTTACTCCCATCTTTTCATTTTATGAATGATTATGGAAGCTAAGAACCAGAAAGAGTAACATGTTTGCTTTAAAAAATCAAACAACTAGTTAAAAACAGAGCAAACAAATCTGGTCCTTCTAATTACTTTCCTTTGTAGCACAAAATCAAGTCTTTGAATGAAAACATAAATGTTATGAAAAGTCAATTCATTCTTTGCTCTTTTTTATAAACAGCCGAGGTCACCACCCATAATAATCACCTCAAAGAAGTTAACGCCCTTCCTCACATTGAATCTGTATCTGAAAGGCTATTACTTTATTTCCAGCCAAGTGAGTAAAGAAACACCCTCTGTTCCTCATGGAACAGTGCAATATTATAAACATAGCACTTTGATCAAGCATAGAAAGCATTTTGTTAGAGCATCAAACCATTTGGAAGTCAATCAAAGGACATCACTTATGGAAAGCTAGATGTTTAAAAAAGATATATGGCAATGTTTGCATTGTAGTGTTTCACACAGCACCTTAAAACCAGCTCTGTGTGTATGTGTATGTGTCTGTGTCTAAGTGTGTACGCACATTGGGTGTGGGAGTACCAAAGTCCTGTATAGACAAGAGGAAGAGGGTGGGGAAGTCCCACTTGATTCTAAGCTGGGTCTATCATTGGTTTGTTTGGCAACATTTAGTAAAAGAGTGAAGAGTTGATCTAGTGATCAAACCCTGGCTGTAACAATGCAAGGGTGAGTGTGAGCACAGAACTCTTAAAAGGACCCAAACACAAAAAACAGCTGGCTGAAGACAAAATACCCCCCTAGCTACTCTGCTTCTAATACCAAACAGATTTTTTTTTCTTTTAAATTCAAACTACACCAGCTCTAAATTGGTTGGGGATGGAGGGTGGAGGAGGTGGTGGGGAGAATAGCACAAGCCTTAGGTTTTCCTGCTAGTTGTGCACTAAATAGGAGTGCACATTCAGGGAACTCTTTTAACCACGGGGTCCTTGGATCGTTTTTATCTGTAAATCAAGGGAGTTTGGTCCCTTCCTATTCAAAATTCTATGGTTCAATATGAAAGAGATTTTTTTTTTAAATTATAAAGGCAAAACTTTCTGAGATTACAAAGGATTGCTAGGGGCTAAACTGGTGTCCCTGAATCATGCCCCTGAAATTGGGCAAAGAATTTTTGTTCAGTGTGTGTATGTACATAAACACTTTTTAAGGAAGAGGAAGAATATTTTTATTAGAACCTCAAAGAGAAATTGGGTCCCCTCTCCCCAAAAGGTTGAAAGACACTGGTAGAGACAGTAAATGGAATCTCTCTGATTTATTTGGTTTCACAGCAGATCAGCAGCAATCTTTACATGGCTGTAAAATCTGTCCCATAAAGCCTTTTTGAGTTTTCATTTATCTTCATGAGCTGTGTGTAATTTTTCATGAGCAAAAAATGCTGCTTAAAATCAAGACTTCCCTTTTCATTAAATATTTAAAGTTCTTGGGACTTCAAGATTTATTTTTATAACAGTGGCTAGAGGAAAGTCACTTTATATCAGAAAATTCAAGCATATAGCATCTTAAACATTTGCTCACTCATGCTGAATTATTTTAAAATTTCTTTCTTCTTGAACTGACTGACTTGAAACAAAAGGCTTGGCTCCTCCTTTCAACCAGCTTTTCTTTTTATTCTGATGCTGGAGTCTGCTATGAAATAATGGTGATGAATTAACCGTGGCTCTGTTAGAAGTAAATTATCATTTTTATAGAGATTTGCTCCCTAACATACAGTAAATAGATGATATCTACATAATTTAAAAAAAATTAGTTGAAAGCGAGAGAAAAGAGGAAAATGACAACTAAAAGAGGAAAAAAATGCATGTAGGAAGAAATGAGAACCAAAGAGAGAACGTACATTAGATACCAAAATAGTATTAAACCCCTAAGCAGGGAACCAAGACAAAAGAAGGAATTTCTCAAGCAGGGAACAAATATAGTAGCTAGAGAATACAGACTTTTTGAGTACATTAAAGTGAAAACGACAGAACATCACAGCTTAGCTTTTCAAGAACATCTTTTGGCTGCTAATCTCAAGGCGTTCTATGGCTCCTCATTAACGAAGGCAAAGACAAAGGTGAGGAGAAAACACCAGGAAGAAGGAGTTGCCAGTGATCATCTGATAAATGCCAAAAGCTCAGGGGAACAACCTTTTGTGGCAGAGAAGCGCCAATCAGTGAGGAAAGCTGATTTTTTCTGAGACAATATCCAAGAGGAATAATGTAAAAAGGACAAAATAAACTGGGTTTAAGCATTTGTCTTCTGACAAATTATTTTAGCTAACCCCAGATGCTTTTTAAGTGACTCCTGTCTGCTTGGGCATGACCATCTGATCAGAAGTACTAGTGGCTCCCGGATGCGAATGGGAAGGACAACCACATTAGAGCCTCTGCGGGCTCCAGGCTGCCTCCCTAAGTCAGTCCTGTGGCTTCGGGTCACGGGTTCCAGTCCGTTAACCCCGAGGGCGCCGGGAGAAGTCAGATCCTAAAACGAACCCGGTCCCCAGGCGCCCCTGCCGGGGTGCGAGCATCATGAGCATCCTCACATCTCTCCTGCTTTCGAGTAACAGCTCCGCTACTCTCCTCTCCACGCCTCTTCACGTCCCATTCAAGAAAATCGCTGGGATGTCAGCGAAAACGCACCCCGCTCCGCTCACCGCCGGTGGCTCCAGAGGGGGGCGCGGGCCACTCCTCCCCCGACAGGGGGAAGCGGAGCGCGCCACCGCGGCCTGCGCGCGCCCGTTGCCATGGGAACGCACGGGTCCCGGCCGCCTGAGGGGCAGGCGGGAGGAGGCGCGGCGGCCCAGCTTGTGGGAGACGCTATCGCAAGATGGCGTCTGCGAGGCCGCGGGATGCGGAGTGAGCGCGCCCCGCCGGGGGCTCCCCGCCAGTGTCGCCGTCGCCGCCACTACGGCGCCGCCTCTCCGCCCGCCACTGCGCCGCGCGCGGCCAACAGCTCCCGCCTCGCAGGTACGGCCGTCCGCGCGCCCGCTCCCCGTAGTCTCCAGATGGCAGCGACAAGTGCCGGCTCGCCCACGGCTAGCCGGACGCCCCTCGTCCCGGTGCGCCCCACAATAACGCGTGCCTAACTTTTTCTTGCAGCGGCCCCTCGCGTCCCCGCCTGCAGCCTCTCCCTCCGCGCCCCTCGGGCATCCAGCTCTCCCCGCCCCGCCCGAGGTGTGAGCGCGCCGATGCGGTGATCCAGCCCGCCCGGGAGGAGCGCGTGGACCGGCGAGCGGGCGGCCAGCACCTTGACCATGGCCTTGACACTGTTCGGTAAGTGCGGGCTTTTCTCCCGCCCCGCGCCGCCGCAGGTGGGCCGCGCCGGGGCTCGGGCCGGGCGACCGCGGAGGGGCGCGGCGCGGCGCGCGGACTGGGGCGCCCGGAGCGCGGGACCGGCTCCCTCGCGCCTCTGCCATTGTCTCCTCTCCCGGCACGGCCGATGGGCGTGTGCTCCCTGGCCAGTTCTGAGCCGCCAGTCTCCGACGTCCTGGGTGCTGTGTAAACCCCAACTTGGGAGCGAAGTTGTTTCCACCCTGCCTTTCCCCAGTCGGTAAATAAAGATCCTGGAAAGTTTATTTAGGGCGTGATGTCTGAGCATCCCCAACCTCCCTACAATCACCAAGTGCCTGCCTGGGTTGTTTCCTGTTGGATTGTTGGAGGATTTTTTTTTTTTTTTGAACGTGGTATATTCCATTGGAAACAATTTGTGAACTTAATTTAATGTTGGTTCAGATTGAACGTGTGTGCTCCGACGAATGAGAGCAGACAGAAGAAAGTTGGTTACTGGAAGGTAACTAATCAGCAGCCTGTTTTTGAGAATTTATTAGGAAAGAAATAGTATTATGCTGTAATTACTGCAACACTATTGTTTCAGTGGTTAACACTTCACAGTATTTTTTCCCCCCTCAGTTTTCAGTGACAGTGGATTGAGAAGAAGGACTGAAAAAGATACATTGTTTGCTTTCTATAAAGACAGATTTATGGTCCTTATGTACCTCACATCAGGAACCTCGGTATCTCAAAATTTAGATGGTCTAGTATTCAGCTTTTCCAAGAAGCAAGGTACTAGGATATGTAACTGATAGCTGCCAGGACAGTCTTAGTAAGTTATTCACAGTATTAAGTTTCCAGTTAAATTTTAATGATGTCATTTGATCAGGCATCAGAGGGGTCACATACTTTAAATGCTTTATGATGTAAATGTCTCAGTGAATTAAGCTGCTGGGGTCAGAGTTATTTTATTTCGTCCCCTGAAAAATAAAATCTCACTTGTTTTGCAGTAACTTGAATCTAATCTGCCTTTTTTAGTAGAAGCGGTTTCCTTGAATATGGACATTTGTTTGTACAAAAGTTAAAAATGAGGGAAGAAGGCTCAACTCATAGTCGATATTTTCCTTTTGAAGAATCTGTTCTAGCTAATTAGAACTGTTGAGGCTAATACTGAGCAGTCAGATTTCTAGAAGTTGATTTCTCTTTAAAACTATTTCTGACTAAATTCATTTTTCTTCCTAAATGACATATTCTGAATTTTCAAGGTTTTCAAAACAAGGTTACAGGTTTAGCATTTTTAGAATACTGGTTTTCCTGATGAATAAAACAGATGAATTAGAGATATCATGTTCTTTTAAAAGGATTCCTAAATTGTAATTCTTCACCCAATTGGAGATGAAGAAAGGAAGCCCATGGAATTAGACCTGTAGAAGAAAATATCTGAAACTGCTTCAGCCTTCAGAATGAATAAAGTATCTTTAAAATTCTAAAGTCCACTTGTGGGCAAATAGAATTCAGTTTACAAAATTCACTTTGTTAGAACGTGAACACTTGGTGTTACAAAGCCAAGTGCCTTGTGAACAGAAGCTGGTGTTTTTAAGTAGCAAAGGAGCAGCAGCTGTTTTAAGTGTGATTGTAGACCACTCATCAGTCATCTGGATGTCTGTTAAAAATGTATCTGCCTTTGCCCAAAGACTTGGGGGGAGAGATTTTAAAGGGACATCCCTTGTGACTTATGCATGTGCAGGGTTGAGAGTCATTGAATTAAAGGCAAGTACAGAAATTTGATCAAACTTGCCCAATTCAAAAATATCTTTTTGTATATATGAAGAGAAGTACTTAAGGAGTAGAAGAAATGGGTTTTATTTTAGGGTTTGCTACTACTTAACTAGTTGATCTTAGAGGCAATTCATGTCTCTTTCTAGTTCCTTTTTTTTTTTTTTTTTTAAATTTTGTCAGTGCTGGGGATTGAATCCATGTCCCCCAGCATGCTAGGCAAGTGCTCTACCACTGACCTACAACCCCAGTCTATTTTACTCTTGATGAGCAACTTAGAACTGGGGAGAGTAGTGAGATGGTAAAGTTCTGTGAGGTGGTGGAGACAAGAAACTAGAATAGCTGATTCTGATTTGTCAGTCATCAAGTCAGCACTCAACAGTTTGCACCTGCAGCTCCCCCACAATGACCACTGCCCTGTTACCTTGTCTGTCTTATGTATGCTTAGGCCAGCAATAGGGTATAGCCTAGTTCCCCGCTTTTCGTTTTATACTTCCATTCGGGCTTTTTAGAAACATAAGGAATATCCTTATTATAGGAAGTTAGTGAAAGTTAACTTAGTTTTAAAAAGTGAGAGCCTCTAAGATGACCTAATTCATGACATTTGCTTTCCCTTATTAAGTACAAGACCTTGTTAAATTAAGCTGGGGTTTAGACCATCTATCTTTCGTCCTCACTACTAACCATCTTTGCTGTTTAAAATCATTTTTAATGCAATTATGTTTTATTCTGTGATGGAAGAAGCAGACCCCGTTTTTCATGATTTTTGTGGTTTCATTTGGGCATTGAAAATGTGCGTTTTTGAAACTTTGGGGATTTTCAACCATTTTTCTTCACCTTTTTAGTAAACCCATGTCTCGGTGTCAACCTTGCTGTAATTTTTAAATCTCTATATCTCAAAACTTATCCAAATGTAGTTTAGACTTCACTTACTTACTTTGCTTATTTGTTCAGCAAATTTCTGTTGAGAGTGCAGGAAATGTAGTCCTTGTAGAGTGCTTAAATATTGGTGGTGGTCCATGGTCGTTTACAGAACTGTAGCAAATACAACCAATTCACTCTACCTAATTCCATGTACTTAGTGGTACCCAACTACCTAACTCAATTACGGTTTTGTTGTAGGGAAGCACCTGTTCTCTAGGAACTACTGGAATAATAGAAAAGTGTGAGATCATCTAATTTAGAACTTCTTAGCTGCTGTACCAGACACAATGTCAATTGGCCGCATCAGCAGATCCCTCGTTGGCAGAGTCGGGTTAAAAAGCATTCTGCTAGGTCATCCTTTACGGGAATTCCCATCATTTATACCTTAATGAGGCTGTGGTTTATAGCCAGGACCAACTGATGAGATTGGGAGTTCAGTATTATCCCCGGCTGGCTGAGCCTTCACTAACACTTGCTCTTCTCTCTCTGGGTGTTTAGCTCTGTCATTACCCCTCTTTCCTTTTCCTCTTCTTACTACCATTTAGTTACCACCATTACTACCATGGGTCACTTTCTGATGCTTACTTTCCTACCATTGTTTTTCAGGTCCTTCTGTGACAAAAACCTTTTCATTATCTTAAGTATTTGTCACTGCCCTGACACACCTACTTATAGACATCTTTGTAGAAATCTTTTGGAGCAGTTAAATGGTAGTGCTATATTTTTTGCCATGCAGTTAGGAAATTTCCTGATTTCCCATATGATTTTCCTGAAATAAAAATTCATTTTCATGAAATCATCAGCTGAACATTTTGATTTATTTGACCAAAAACTAATTTAAAAAAAAATTTATTTCTTGGTGGGCCTGGGGTTTGAACTCAGGGCTTCATGTTTGCAAGGCAGGTACTCTATCACTGGAGTCACACCTTCATTTTGCTTTGGTTTTTTTTGGAGATCGGGGTCTTGAGAACTATTTGCCTGGGCTGTCCTAGAACTGCTATCCTTCTAATCTCAGCCTCCCAAGTAGCTAGGATTATAGGCATGAGCCACTGGTGCCCAGCCCTCAAGCTAATTTTAAAGGAAAATCCTACTTGACTATACTCTGCTGATATTTTTATTTTTCAGTTGTTCCAAGAATATGAGAAGATGGCCCAGTGGTGAAAGCCCATCTGCCTTTTTCAGAGTATAAAAGCATTCACCTGTCATCAGAATTACCATCCTTAATTAAATTCTTGTGCACATCCCTTCTCTTGGTGTCACAGACTTAATATTTCAGCTGTAAAATTTGCCATGTAATATGTGGAGATCTGGTGCCATGTAAGAGAGAGAAAAGAATTTAATTGTTACAACTCTTATGGTCATCTGTGTACAATGTATAAAGAAATGTTGTTTGACATAGTCTTTTGAGTCACATCTGTCCTGCAGATAACCATCCTGTAAGTAGCCTAATCTTCGAAGCTGGAAGGTAGTGATACATGTAATTATAAAAATCTAACATAATTGTCATAGAGAGTTTTCAGAACAGTATTTTTTTTTAAATCACCCAACTTTTTAGACAGTTTTCCTCCATTTCTCCCCATTAAGATTTAATACCAGAGGTATACTTCATATTATATATGTTTATAAATTATGTGTATAATACTTTATACCTAAAAATGAATAAGTTTTTTTTTAACCTCTAAAAGCCATCTTCATCTTTTAGACTAAAGCAATTATAAGAAAATCAGGCAGAATTGTTTGGTGATGCTTTATGTCTTTCATGTCTTAATAGTTCTAAAGGAATTGCAATATGTTAGATAAGTTATACATTTCAGATCGGTTGACAAGGAACTGCAGCTTACTATTGCCTTGAGGGCATCCATAACAAAGAGGACCTTGCTGGGGCTGAGGAGGGTATAGCTTTTCTCAGAAGCCCCTCTGAATACCCTATGAAATGGGTAATGGATGTTTTCTCATTTTATATAAAGCATCAGTAACAGCACTTTAAAAGAATTTATTTATCTGAAATATATAAACTATATGATCACTGAGCTTTCTGGACAAATCCAATTCAAGGCATGCCCTTGAGCTTGGTCTTCCAGTCAAATTACCAGTCATAAGTCATTTTTACTTAGAAAATGATTTCTGAAGCTTTGATTTTTGTTAACTAATGCAGTTTTACTATCCTGAAAAATAAGATCAGAAGAACCTAAGAAAACAGGATAGTGTAACCAGTTTTACTCTAAAAAAGTCATATTGAATAAAAAGTCATGTCTGACAAGGTTTTAAATTTGCTTTCCTAATTTGACCTTTTTTTTTTTTTT